CAGCACCACATAGTATTTGTCGAATAAAAGCGAACAGAGCCCAGGACCAGCAGATGGTGTAGCCGTTATGTCGCTGGACTCCTACACAGTCGGCTAAGGGTCGAGTCCTGGCTCATGTGCGTGGGTGCCCAAGATCCCTGGAGGAGAATGGAGGAGAAGGGGTTGCGGTGTAGCCATCCCTGAGGGGTGTGTGTGTGTGTGTGTGTGATTGCTCACCTTCCCTCTCACTGTCCCTCTCTCTCCCGCAAGCACACACACCCTAAGGCAAAAACCTCTAAAAAAGAAAAAGTGAACAGAGCCCTCTGCACAGATTGATGGTGAAAGAGATTGTGTCATGGACCAAAGTATCTGGTTAACTTAATTTTTTGCACCTGATGTCTGCAAATAAGATAAACCTGTGATAGGCCCTCTCTCTCTCTTATGTGTGTGTGTGTGGTGTGTGTGTATATATATATATTTATGGGGAAACTCATGGCCCCAATAGGTGAAGAGTGTTCCCCACGCGCCGCAGACTGAGGCAGGCCCCCCTGAGCCGACTGTCTCATTTTTCTGCACAAAATTTACAGCCGCCAAGAAGGCGCTAGATGGATGATCTTGGTGACTCACGAGTCCCTCATTTCTGGGAATACAGACAATTGATGGACTATATTTGTTTTCCTCGGTGGCACTAGACACGGAACTAGCAATTTTTTTAAAAAACTAATGAATTCTCAATTAGCCATAGGCGCCAACGTCAGGAAATGCACAGGAAATCACAATCTATACATAATTCAGAGATCTGTCAAGTCAATAATTTCTCCTTCCAGAAGGGTCCCTGATGGTTCTCTTTATTCCCAAGCCCAGAGCTCAATAAATATCTGTTGATTATTGAAAATTAATCCTTCTTTTTGAAAAGGGCTTAAAACAATTTACTTATGATCTTTCAAACAGATGTTGAGAATTGTTTGTTGACAGCCAGGGGAGGGTAAATTAGCCCAGATGTGGGCTGAACAGTGAATGCAAGGAGGGGAGGGGGGCACTGCCATCCACGCGTGAGCTGCTTCCTGGAAGCCGAGCCTTGCAGGGCTTACCAGGACTGTAAGAGAGGTGTTAGCCCCACTCACAGAGACAAAAACTGAGGCTTAGATGTGTGTGTGTGTGTGTGTGTGTGTGTGTGTGTGTGTGTGGTCACTCGTCCAAAACCTGCAGCCAGGATCTTACCGAGTCAAGGGTACTTCGACTCTGTAACTGACTCTTCCACTCCGCATGGTGCAGCGGAGCCAGCATCCTCCCAGGAGGACTAAAACAGCACAGGAGGGGCCGACAGATGCATGCTGGGTAAGGGGCTGGGCTCCCACTGACTGCAGGTTCGAGTTCCAGACTGGGTAGCTTGAAACTCACACTGGGCGTGTGTGCATGCGTGCCCCAAATCCCAAGAGGAGAATGGAGAAGGGATTGCAGTGTGGCCATCACCCCTGAGGTGATTTCTCACTTTCTGACTCTGTTTCTCCAGCAAGTGCATGTACCCTATAGCCAAAATCTCTTAAAAAAAAGGGAAAAGCAAAATGTCCCCAAACCAACACCTAGACACAGACTTTGTGAAGCCAAGACAGGGGGCTGGTGGCGCATGTATTTCTGCAGAACGGACACTGGGAGAGTCAGAGCTGCCTAGGCCACACCATCAGAGGGCAATGTTTCACGACTCCAAGCAGCAGCACCAGGCTTCATGCAGTCAGCTTGCCAGTCAGTACACCCTTATGTGCGTGGCCAGGAAGGATGGCATCAAGCCACATCCATCCTAGTCCCAACCACCTCGTCCTATAAGGAAAGGATCCTGCCCCACCCACTGGTCCCATGCCCATCCCACTGCAGGCTTCAGAATCACGACTCAACTTTACATCTAGCAGGGACCACAGCTATGTGGCGAATCTCCAGGCAGCCTGTAGGCACACTGTGGGGTGCAGCGGAGACGCAGAATTGCTGGTCTTCTCCCTCTCATCTTTTCTTCACGTGGGACATTTCCAAGCCTAGGCAGCTCTCAGCTGTGTGTCACAGAGGTCAAGGGGTCAAATATAGGGGAAATAAGCGTGGAGCATGTGCAGGCGCAGAGCCTGGCTGGGGACAGTGGCCAGAGTGGAGCAAAGAGCCACCTCCCCTGGGCGAAGTGGGCCTAGCAGCTGGCCAACTGCTGGAGTGCCCATCAGCCAGGCTGCGGTGTCACCTGTACTTTCTGTCCCCTTTGGCTCCTCCAGTTCCAGGTGAGTTACTTTCACTGAAAATGAAATGACTGTGGCTAGGGCCTAGCTGAAAAGGACAACCCAGGGCAGGGGAGACCAAGACAATAAAGACAAAGTCAGGGCCAGCAGATGGCGTAGTGTTTAGGTGGTCGGACTCCCACATGGCCAATCTCGGTTCGAGTCCCAGACCTGGTGGCTTGAAACTCACATTATGCTGCGTACATGTGTGCCCAAGATCCTGGGAGGAGCATGGAGAAGGAATTGCAGCGTGGTCATGCCCCTGAGGGTGATTTCTCACTTTCCCTCTTGCTGTCTCTCTCTCTTCCCCCAGCAAGCACATGCACCCTAAGGCAAGAACCCCTAAAAAAAATATAAAAGACAAAGTGCTGTAACTCCCAAATCATGCCATTCATTTTCCTTAATTGGATTTTACAGCTCATCCAAACTTCTGGTCAGTTCTCTGAGGAGCTGTGGGATTCCTCTGGGCGCTCTGTCCTCTGTCCCTCCCCCGGTGAGATCAGCAGAAACGCGCACACGCTGGTCGGGGGGAGCTCGCTGGGCTTGTTCTGCGGTTGAGTCCCCTTCTGGCTCTGCTGTGATGCATACTCGTCTCCCTGACATTCCCGAGAACTACGGCTACCATGCTTCTCATGAGGAGTGTGGAGGAGAGCGAGCGGTTTCAGAGGAAGGCAGTGGGTCGGTCAGCAGGGGGCGTGCAGGTTAAGGTTCCTGGGTCCACATGGTCAACTCTGCGGTTCGAGTCCTGGATCCAGTGGCTTGAAACACCATGGGGCGCGTGTACGTGCGTACCCAAAATTTCAAGAGGAAAATGGAAAAGGGATTGCAGCGTGGTCATCCTTCCTGGGGGGTGATTTCTTTCTTTCTCTCTTTGTCTCTCTGACCAGCACACATGAGCTATATACTCCAAACTAGAAACAAACAGAAAATAAAGGAAGGAGGGATGGAATGTTGCAGAAGGGTAGCTGTGCACCCCAGGAGCCTTTCTGCGCCTGCCCTGCCCATCCTCTGCCTCACCCTGACCTTTCAGACAGACAGAAGCCAAGGAAGAGTAGGAGGCTGGCAGGGCCGTGGGCAACCCGCACTGCCCGTGCACCAGGCGGCAGAAGGCTTCCCTCCTTCCGGGTGTGGGGCATGGATGGGAGACAGGAGCAGAAAAGAGGGTGCAGGAAACCCTCTTGGCTGGTGTCCTTGGGAATGTAGTGCAGCTCCCTGAACTGTCCTACCTCCGACAGCCTCAGGGTGAGCAGGGGATGAAGCATCCTCACAGGACGTCCCAAGCCGGTGGCCTGGGGGGGCACACTGATGCCATTCTCGGCTGCCGCGGGGGTTCTGCTCACTACTCCACTCACGACCTGCTTTTTGTAGATTGGACTCTCAGTTTTCAGGGCAGAGGTGCAAATATGGGAGAAAGAGCCCTGCAAAGGTGTGCCCATCCTTCCCAGCAGGGGGCTCCACGAGCTGCCCCCGGCCTGCCCACCTTGGATAGTTGGTGTCATGGAACCATCTCATGGGCCAGGACAGCGCGGATTCTCTGCAGCTGACCTCACAGGAAATGATCCCGGGCATCCGCGCTGCCATAACTCGGGAGGAAGCAGGGAGACCGGGTCTGGTCCTCTCACCCGCTTTGTGCGGCGAGAGGTGCCATGGTGCACCTGACGGCTTAGGGACCAGGCTGGGTGGACATCATTTAGGTCTATTACAGGGCTGCAAGTCACAAGCTACCATGTTGGACTCTGCTCTGGAAATTTAATGTGTGACAGCTGCAGCCAGCGGTGTCCAGCATTTTAAAAAGGTCAATTAAGAAACAGTTGATGGTGGCGCAGCTAATGAGAGCCCAGAGGGGTGAGCGGCCGCGTAAACAGAGGGGCTGAGACACGAATGACTGGAATTGGAGTGTCCACGTGAAGCGTGGTGGGGAGGAAAGCTATTGTCACGAGCCATAAAGCGCATCTGAGTTTTGCAGCGGAGAGCGGTCCAGCTGTTCCTCCTCCCAGAGCTGCAGGGAGCAGGCTGTGAATGGGGGCTCGGCCCACAGAGGGGACACAGGCCACCGCCCCATGTCTGCGGTAGAAAATCCTTACCCTCCGCCCTGCCTATTCCGCTGCACTTTTCGCTCTCCCGCTTGGGGAGCAGAGGCAGATGCTGGAGTGATCCTGAGAATGTGGGTCATGGTCTAGAAATCCATATTTCCAGCGTTCCTCGAGCTGGGCTTTGCCACCTCCTCGGGCGGGCGTGGGTGGGCGGACAGCCAGGAGCGAGCGCCGGGAGCCCAGGCTTCCCTCCGAAGACGAAGACGCATCCGCCCGCTGGCTTGGGGCGCGCACAAAGCAGGCTGCGGATCAGACCCCTTTCGCTGCGATGGATAAAAGGACGCGAAGCCTTTGGGCAAAGTCTTTTTCGGCCTGTGACAGAATTGGCTCAGGGTTGGGGGAAGGCACTGTGATTTTTTTTTTGAAAATCAGACAAAGGAGTCTCAGACGGAGCGCAAGGCTGCTAGGACCCGCTTTTTGCCACATCTACCTGTCAAGCTAGAAATTCAATGGAGCAAGGGCATGCTAATTGATATGCAAAACGGGTGTCGGGTTCCTAGAAATGTGTAAGGATCCTCCAGTTCATTGCGAATGCAGCATGGAGCAGCACTGGGATGGGAGCGGGAACGCCAACCTCCAGCCTTCCTCCCCCTCCCCTCTCTAAAACCCACTATGGGAACCTTCGCAGGTTTTGTTACTTAGAAAATAAAAAAGAGGATGGCAATGAGTGGGATTTGTCTTTCACACACTGGATATTTATTATTAGAAAATAGCTCCATCAGCTGTCAGTACCAAACAAGTTGAAAGGAGCGTGCGTCTCGTTGTAATTCCCCCCTTTAACGATAGTTAAATAAACAGCTCACTGTGGAGAGTTGCCGCGCCATTTTTTTTCCCTTTAAAAACGGAATAATTACATGAAGTTTAGTACAAAACATCCTCCAGATCTGACTTGTTCTGAAGTCATTATGCTGTCTCTGTGAGTAAGAGACAGGAGAGAGATGAAAAAGACCACTCGGGTTATCGAATTACCCCAGAGCATCCCCAGTAGAAACCGGGCAACGAATAAACTAACCCATCCAATAAAACCCAGCCAAACCAAGAAACCAGTTTTTACGTTGGCTTTTCAATTTTGATTATCATCTAAGTTTAATATATATATATATGTATTTGAAATAGTAACAAAAAAGGAAGAATCGAATTGCATCCTTGGCAGTACAACCTTCCCCATATGTTAAAGAGGTGTTCAGAAAATCCCATACAGTATCTGCTAAATAAACATGTTTGGCAGCTTAGCAAATATCATATGATTGCAGCATCCATGATTTGAAGTAAGAGAGCGTTTATGTCCGTCTGTCAGGGTTCGTTGTCTGGGCGATGTGTCCACGCGGTGTGGGGTGCTCTCCAGCCCACAGCTTACCCAAGCTTGGGGGTGGCTCAGTGCGGGCCCCAGTGCAGAAACGCCCAAACCCCAGCAACGAATCAGCCGGCCAACCACAAACATCAGACAATTGTCTCCTTTGAGTTCCTCTTGACTGAATGGAGGCCCAGCAAGGACTGCTGGGTAGAAGGGACGTTGACAGACTTTGGAATGAGGAGAATCACCCTCTGATTGGTCCGACGCCATTCGTTGTACAATCGACAGTGGTACCTAAATGACACCTGCGGGAGGGAGAGGCGACACGAGAGGAGGTGTTCAGGTGAGCAGAGTTGATCATTAACCCAAGAAATCGCATGACATTGAAAAGAGCTGGTGGCACCATGGTGGCAAGAACTCTGGGCCCAACTGCTCCAGCAAGCGGCTGACACTTGGGAGACTGGGTGCCACCCGAAGAGCGCCCCACGTGAGAGCAGCCCACGGGCAGGCTTGTGTGGTGGCCACCCTGGCTTCTCACACTGGCCTCCAGCAGGATGTGAATAGGAAAATGAGGTACGGGACCAGCAGTTAGCATAATGGCTATGTCGCTGGACTCCCATGTAGTCGACCACAGTTCATGTCCTGGACCCGGTGGCTTAAACTCATGCCGGGCACATGTGCATGCGTGCCCAAGATCCCGAGAGGAGAATGGAGGAGAAGGGATTGCGGTGTGACCATCCCCCCTGGGGGGTGATTTCTCGCTTTCTGTCTCTCTGTCTCTGTCTGTCTGGTGAGCGCACACGCCCTATAGCAAAAACACACCTCTCCAAAAAAAAAAAGGAAAGAAAAAGAAAAGAAAATGAGGCTATTTCTCAGTTTGGATTTATTTGGGGGCTAGTGGTATTCTGGGCCCTCAGGGATCCGTTGTGAGGAAGGTTGGCAGGGGGCGGCAGGGCAGAGTGGACACAGCACCAGCCCTCGCTCAGTGCTGTGACCCAGGCCCGGTGCCCCAGGCTGCTCTGTCACATGAGCGGGATTCAGGTTCCTTCCTGCAGGACCGATACTCCGCACAACTCGCCGGACGCCATCCTCACTCTGCCCTTTGCACCGTGTGTGTGCTGTGGACACCCGCACAACGCACTGGGCTGCCCCGGTGGGAGAGCCCTGATTACCTGCGGCTCTAGCACTGCACAGCTCCCGGCCTGGGCCTCAACTCCCTGGTCAGTCTTCCTGAGACTCAGGCTGGGTGAGGCACAACTTCCGTGGGGTTTTATCTCAGCATGGCATCGAGTGCCGTGTCCATCACCAAACACGTCTGTCTTTCCCTCTGCACAGAAAGAACCTTGAGAGCCAGGCGTGTGCTGTGTTTGTCTTTGCAGGCCCAGCGCCTCTCACCAGTGTCTGGCACTTAGCGAGTTGCTCGGGAGTTTGCCGAGTGAATGAGTGAGTGAATAATATCCCATGGAACACTGCTTCAGGCTTAAGCGTCTCTTACATAATACGTGACAGCCCAAACCTGAACCCTGCGGTCAACTGTGACAATCAGGCTTGAGACGCAGGTAATGGAAATACACTGGGAGGAGGGGCGTGAACCTGCCGTTTGTTTTGGAGGTCGGTGTAAGTCACTGAGGGATTGCCAAGAAGTTCAGTCTCTACTTTTGAAGATGTACAGTTGCCTTTAAAGACGGGCCTTTGTCCCAGCCGCAGCAGTGCAGGCAGTGGGGCGCCGCTCTGCAGTGCTCAAGCTGGAGCCATGTGGAAGGCGGCAGTTTGGATCCTGAGCACGGGGCCTATGATCCTGTCCAGCTGGAGGGTGGGGTGGGGGAAGGGTCGTGGCATGAGACCTGGGGGACACGTTTCTCTTTCTCAATAAAATTAATGGTTTATTAAAATGGGGTTCTCGAGTGCATCCAGATGGCTGCGGAGGAAGGTGCCCATGAGTTCAGGGTGACAATCATCCAGCCCTAGCCTGTTTGTCTAGGCATGGGTGGGCTGTGTTGACCCCGGGGCCTGTGGTCAGAAGGTGGGACGGAGCTCAGGTTCTGGAGGAGGGGAGGGCAGGCCCTTGATCAGAAAGGGCTTGTTAGTCTTCAAGGCAGGATCCTGAAATTCAAGGCCACTCAAATTTCTGAGGCTAGGAAGCAGATGTCACAGGCTGAATGCCAGAGAGATTTGGGTATAAAAGTATAAGCTTTTAAACTCACACAGATGTGCTTTTCAAAAGGCTCTGAACATGCCAAAGTGGATCAGTTTTTATTTATTTTTTTTCTTTCTGAGCTTAGCTACTCTGTCCTGCTGCTTGGTGCTGCTCCTGAGTGGAAGGGAAGCAGGCCGGCAAATCGCTGTTCAGGGCCAAGGGCAGGGAAAGGGGTAGAACATAGGCAAGGGGTAAAGAAGAACTTTGGAAATACAGAAAGACTGGAGCCTGCAATTGCAGGAAAGCTGGTTTTTATTCTTTCTTAGTTTTTGCTATAGGGTGCTTGCTCTCACTGGAGAGAGAGACAGAGATAGAGAGGGAAAGTGAGAAAGTCACGCTGCAATCTCTTCTTCATTCTCTTCTTGGCATGCACACATACCCAGTGTGATGTTCAAGCCACTGGGTCTGGAGCTCAGACTATGGAGTCGGCCACATGGGATCTACTCACCTTAACCTCCATGCCACCTGCTAGCTCTGGAGAGCTTAATTTATAACCAGGAGCCCCTTCCTCTTGGATGCAGAAGAGCTGGGCACGCTCAGAGTTAGGCAGCAGAGATGCAGCTGCGGGTGTATGCCACCCATGGGCCCCGGCACACAGGGCATGCGCCCCTTCTCCTCATAGCGGCTGTGTGGCTTTGGGAGGCTGTTGGCTATCGAAAAGCTTCAGCTTCCCTGTTTGTAAAATGTTAACGATAACTAAAATAACACCTAGAAAACAGCACAGAGCACACCGCGAGTGTTCTTGGCCTGTGACTTTGCATGTTTTAAATATGGACAAGAAGGTGGAATTTGGTGAGACCGCTTAGATTCAGGGAAACTGGGAGGGAGGAGGAGAGACCAGGCTGTTTTCTTCAGTGCCTCGGTCTCTGTGGTCGGGAGCAGCAGCAGGCCACTTCGCCTGGGAGCTTGTTAGAATATCAGCATTTGGGCCCCACCCAGAGCTGAGGAATCAGAGAGCACATTTTAATAAGATCCCCAGGCGATCCCCACGTACATTCAAGCCTGAGAAGCCTCAAGGAGCGCAGGGAGCCAATGGCTTAGCAGGTCGCCTGGTTCCTTGGCAAGGAATAACAAACCCAGCCCACTGGTGTGGAGAAGCAGGTGAGATCTTTCTCTCTGTTAATCTACTTTAATTGCTGTTATCCACTACAGTCTGCAGGCCAGCCCAACCAGTAAGGAGAAAGTGCCATGGGACAGTGACTCCTTGTCAGGGAGAATGCAAGGAGCTGAGGGTGATGCAGGACAGCGGGGTGGCAGTGCCCGGGCTGAGGGTGATGCAGGACAGCGGGGTGGCAGTGCCCGGGCTGAGGGTGATGCAGGACAGTGGGGTGGCAGTGCCCGGGCTGAGGGTGATGCAGGATAGCGGGGTGGCAGTGCCCGGGCCAATGCCTGTTTCTGTCTCTAGACGCTCCAAGCAGTGCCATATAGTGGGGAAAAGAGGAGGCTTAGAGAAATAAACAGGCAGCGAGGAGAATAGCAACAACGTAAATCAAAAGGGCACTAGTATAGTAGTGTTTTTTTTTTTTTTTTTTTGAG